CCAGTCTAGACTGGGTTTAACTTCATTCTCTAGGATCTTTTAACTTCCAGTTTATGTGAATTGGATTACTTACTAATGAATTTCATTTAAATGCCTTGCAAGTGAAATGGTGCTGCAGCATGGCTCAGCCTCCTCCTTCCCTGGTGGTACCAGCTGATTGGTATTGACAAGATTACCGGGCTGTGTTATGGGTTTTTAATGGCGCTGGCTAAGTTGGTTTCCTCTCTAGCAATTTAGCTTCCTTCCCTTTCAGTGGGCTATAAGCTTTTTTTTCTGTGATTGCCTCAGTTTTTGTCTGTTAGGGAAATCGGTGGTTAAACTTGCATATAGCTGCTACAGTATTCTTTTGCTCTGGTGTGACTTGGCCTGTGTTTCTCATTGCACAGTGAATCCTGTTTCTGTGCACTTTGAAAGAGGGATTTCTATATCTAGATGATCTTTTCTCCAGAATAGTGCAGTCTGCCTACCCGGTTCTTATTCTTTATCCCCTCAGATACCCTGCTGTGTTTTAATAGTCTGTAGACACACAGGTGCTTGTTCTGTGAAAGACTATTTATGAAGTGTAGAAAGTTGTGCAACTTTAATGTGGTATGAATGTACAAGTTAAGCATTTTTTCTTTGAAACATCTAGAAAGGCAACTGATGTCAGAGTTTTCTATGTTTCTGTAATACAGGCCTAAAGGCAGAACAAAGATCAGGAAATAAAGGTTTCTCAACTGTAAGAGAAAAGCTGCTTCAGACAGAGTTTAGGAATATGGGTGGATACATCTCTGGGCAGGCCTTGGATACTTCCAGTCTTCCATGATGAAGTATCTTGTAAAATATCCTCTGTGATGTTCCACTCCATCTCAGCATAATCCCAGTTCTGTGCCACTCTGTGCTCCTGGAGTGGAGTATTGCAGCAGTCTGTGCGTGTTATTTTGTCACTAGGAACCATATTGCTACCTACTAGTTGCAGGTAATGACAGTTGTTAATGATGTCTTGTGTGTGGTGCTGATTTCCCCCTGCACACACTCATACATGTTTGTTTCTCCTGAATTTTCTGAATCACAGAATGGTTGGTATCTGTCTCAGTTCAGCTTCTCTATTACATCTGAAAAGCAGATGCAATTGTAGATGTGCTGAATTGTTTTTAAAAAATTGCCATACATCTCTGTGGAACTGTGATTAAAAGAAATAACTTTTTGATTTTCTCTGTTTATGTTCTAAGCAGTGGTAGAATCACTGCTTAGTCTTGTATGTGCCTATTAACCAAATGAAAGGAAGGATTCAATGGAGTGATTAGTTTTCAATTTAGGCTTTTAAAATTATTGTCTGATGCTTTTTGCAGCCTAGTTACTGAGGGGAATATCCAGGATTTAGTTATTTTTAATTCTGTTTTGATTGGGACACTTTTTTCCAGATACTGAATCCAGATAAAAGCAGGATACTAGAGGATAATTTAGAAGAAAAGATACTGTGTCCTTAGAAGGCTTTTGTAATTCGCAAAGCACAATATGTAATGACTAAATTTGTTGTTAGAGCTCAAATAGCACCAAAATCTCAGAAAGTAGTATAAACAGTGTGATCCTAAGAGGATTAGAAGAAAAACACGAGTGCACAAAGTTCACATGGGGAACAGGAACAATTCAAAGCTGGCGCAAAACCCGCTGGTTTAGCTGTAGCATGAACCCAACATAATGGGTGGGGAGGAGAAAGTAGCATGAATGGCAGTGTTTCTGGAAGAAAATGGTTAAACACTTTTGCAAATAGCTTTTCGAGAAATCCTTGCTTTGAACTGATTATGTTTAGACTCAGGTAAGGAGTAACATCAGTATATATCTGTGCTATGTGTTTATAACCAGATTTGTCACTGTGTGGTGCCAGGGTTGTTTTTATCTGTGGTTTCCTTTGTACCACACGATTATTACTTGGTGATAGCAGCAGCCCAATCTGTGCTAGCAACTTGGATTGGTGTTTGCTTCTTTGGTAGCTGGTTTGGTGTGTTAGTTTTGGCCCTGCAGATGGGAACTGCCAGTCTCGTGCAACCTGTTTGCCTCGACCCTTTCACCACCTCTGCATGCAGGCTGAGAGTTCATAGCCTCAGGCATAGCTGATGCTCTGTGCACCACAGCAGGATGCTCTTTGAGGAGATGATGTTGGGTGTTGTACTGAACATTGGGGCACTGTCTCATGGAGGGACTGCATCAGGTGTGTGCAGAAAAACCGGGTGTGGGGAGGCTGATGAGCACTGGCTGTGAGCAGGTCAGTGCACACATGGCAAAGTCATCTTTCTTTTTAAGTTGAGGGTTAGTCTTCAGTCAATGTTGAATGTGTTAGTCATCAGGCAGTGGTGAACTGTTCCCAGCCCCTCTGAGATGAAGGATCCAAACTCAGAAGCTGCTGTGCATTCCCCAGGTGTGCTTTATCAACTTCAAGGGCATCTGGTGGATTATTTTTAAGTGTCACATAGTGTAGCTGTTATTGCACCTGGGCACCTGTTTAAATCACTGTAACAGGTTGGTATATAAAGGCGAGAGATAGTCTAAAATCAATAAATTATACCTGTCACCTACATTGTTTCAAGGTACATGCCAAAGTCCAGTAGGATAAATCTGGAAAGAAAAAAAAGCTGCTGATGAGGCATTTATACTCAGCACTTGATTCTGAAGAAGGACATCGCAGAGTTTTCTAAATGTTTACGTGTCGTTTCAAGCGCCTTTATTTAAAACTGGAGCCTACAACCAATTAACATTGAGTGTGGAATGAAGCAAAGTCAGTGAACCCTTTCTTTTCTCATTCGCTGCTCTCTTGAGTCTTTGCTTCGAGCTTCTTTCCGTGTCACTGCCCTGTTTAGATATAAAGCGAAGGACAAGAAGCCTCTTCCACAGATCAGGCGGAAAGGTTTCCCTCTCTGGCTTCAACAATAAGTGCTGCACTCAGAAGATTGCAGAAGGGCAAAGAGGAGTTGGAAGGAGACAGTTTGGGCAGTGTATACTGAAGAAAGCATTTTTTTCCTTGAAGAAAATGGTTTATGTTTGTGCAATCATCCTTTTATTTATGTTTGCCATGTTCCTCTCCAAATGAAATAACCCAAACCAAGCGTCACACTCAGAACAGGGCAGCAGGGCCCTCCTCTGCCTTTCTCTGCACACAGCTTTTATAATGATTTAGACTGTTCTCAAAGGAATATTGGTTGGTTAGTGTTTTGTTATGTTTTGTTTTTAAGGAAAATTCTCATTATAAGCAAGTAATATTTTTATGGAGTCTACCAAGTGAAGTGTTAAAGCTTTCTCTTCTCTGCTGGTTTGTAGCTCTGGTTGTGGAAAAAACCCAGACTTTCTGAGTAGCCTTGCTTAGGGTACTGTGCCACTTGAGGAGTGCTGTTTTCCTCAGCCTATTCACATAATTTCTGCAGCACTAGTAAAACTAAGCGAGGAAATAAGAGCATGTTTGCAAATTCTTTCAATTCCCAGCATTCCTCAGCATCCTCTGCAGTCCCTCTTTCCTGCACTGTGAAGGTGACGTTTCTGCCTGCCTTGTGGGATCTTCTGAGAATAAAATAAGCTCAAATGCTGCAACTCTTTTTTTTCTGGCAGGGCCCAAAAATGGCTTTATAATAAACCATTTCCTACCAACTGAGCTTGAAAATTGCACGTGAGAACCTTGTGTTGGTTATGAGCCCCAAACCCCATAGTTATTATTTTCTCACAGTAAAAGTTTTTGAACACAGGTTACAGATGCTTTGTAAAGAGTTTAATCTAAAAATAGTCTGATAATACTTTATTAGTCACCCATGTCCATCTGTCACCCTTCCTGCTCTTTGAGTGGGCGATTAGATTATGTCCTAAAGAAAAGTCATCTGGCAAGTATGTGCATGGAGGGCAACCACTCAGGAATATTAGTGTGAATAAAAATCGTTTGTCATTGCTGAATAAAAATGGATGTTGCAGTGGATGGAGTTACCCCATATTTGGTGGTAACACATAATCCGTTTGCCTGTACTTAACTGTTTTATTGTTAGATGCATAAAATTGTCATTGACATGTAAAGAAAATTATTAAAATGTGGGAGAGTGTGGATTTGTTTGGATTGGTTTTGTTCAGATTTTGAAGGTGAGCAAGATTTCTCTTGACGAGTACAGGAGGAAGATTTCTATGATGTACATGTTGTCAAATGTTGCCAGCAGTTAGTATGAGGTGTGTTTTACTAATTGCTGAGGTCACTGCAGGAGTTGGTAACTCTCCGTTTGCATGGGCACACCTGTGTACATAAATGGAGTTATTTAGTGCAGTGTGTTAGGAAAACAGATTTCTTTTTCTTAAACTGCTTCACAGTGGATGTAACCAGTTTGGAAGTCAAACCACTGGAATGTTGATTTTTGTTTGGGGCCTTTGAGAGCAGAAGATACTGTAAGCTGCCCTGTTGCCTTCCCAAAGCTTTTTCCAGAGAGCTAAGGCAAAATCCAGACATCAGGATTTTT